TGGATTACAAAAATTTATTATTATTATTTTACAGTTCTAATACTGTACATGGTTTAAGCAAATATGTAGTATACAGAGTGCAATATATCAGAAACAAAATACTTCAATTCCATCTTTAGAAAACCTCAAAGATCTGCTCATTCTGTAAGTTTTCAAAGTAAGTCATACCAATCCTTCAAAAACAAGCCTGCAGAACAAATCGACTCCGGTTTCAGCAGCGTCAAAAACTGTCGCAAAATGATGTTCAAAAATGAAGATGCTACGGAAACATCAAGGCACAAAGGGTAAACTGTTCCCAGAAAACAGCTTTTTTATGCAGGAGTCTCCAAATTCTCCTTAAGCAATGAGATCAGGACAGAAACAAAGTCTTTATCCACAGTTTATCAGATTCCTATACTTTGAATGACTGCAAGTGAATGAGGGAAGACAAGATGAGTTTCTGTGACACTTGTTCTCAGTCGTTTGTTCCATGGTCACTGATGACCTTTTTGTGCATCCTCTGGATCTGGTGAGTTGTACTACTTTCCCCTTCTTATTGATTCCCTCCAAGGAAGTAGGAAGGCTGAAGGAAGAGAAAAAGATTTTTATTTATTTTATTTTTTACCATTGAAAAACGAAATAAATAATTTAAAACACGCACACGCACAGATATGGTTATTAACGTCTATGTTCAGCAGCAGGGTCGCTCAAAAGTGCATTTGTAATGAGTTAAATTGCACTGTTACCACGGCTCCTAAGTTAATTTAGGCACTTGACTAGAGCAGCTCTCTTAAAGAACCATCGCTGCAGATTCCTAAACTGTGAGCTCATAGTTCAGACTCACACATTTGGGTCACGAGTTCATTTGAGATGACCGGTTTCATTAAATAACTCTGTTTCCATTGGATGGTGACGACTGTACCCTTGATCTCAAAAGTCACAACGACAGATTAACACCCTTAGTGTCCCACTGCTTCATGTCAACTAAACCCATAAGGAAAGTCAGTGTGTGTGTTTGTGCGTGTGTTTAAAAATACTCGACTGCTTGGTGAGGGAGGGGCAGGCAGATGTTATTTTGAAGGCTCACGTTGCATCTTAATTATGTCCTCAAGTGAAGCTGGTTTGTGTCTACTGAGGTGTAGTACAGGCAGATGACCATAGTAAGAAAAACTCGGAGAGGACTCTAACTCGGTGGAACATCTAAACACTGAAGTGGTTCTTGTAAATAACCTTCAGCACGAGCTTAACGTGAGTGCTTCTCAGCTCTGTGTCACCTCATTCCCAAGAGTCTCGGTCTTTTCATTCCTTTCCATCCAGCTATTGCAACAACTTGTTTGGTGATTAGCACAAAAAGGAAATAACATGTTAAGTCAGGTGTTTTACTGCCGGCACACGGCTGTGCGTTTAGCTGCCAATTGCTTGAAAAACCAATAATAATAATAATAATAATAATAATGATGATGATGATGATGATGATGATGTTTGTTTAGCTGAGGTATTTGCTTGGGATTCACTGCCAGTCTCAGTTACTGGGAGTGAACTTGAGGATATTTGAGCAATGAGAGGGTGTGGTGCCACTCTCTCCAGAGCCCAGATAAAATGATTTCTACATAAATGAAATAAAAGCTTTCCCACGCCAATAAGTCACACTTTGACTTCTAGCTATTTCAGTCCAACCAGACAACAACTTGGGATACCTTCGACAATCAGAGCTCCTCGTCCTCCCCAGTGCTGCCCAGGTGTCCCGTAGACAGGTGCCGGTTCCTCCCGGTCTGCACGGCTTGTAGGTTCTTATAGCGCACCAAAGCCAGAGCAATCTCTGCGTTCCACGCTGTGCCGTCCTGCGGACACCGAAAGTCAATTTCCTTGCCCGTAACCATGACCACAGTGAAGTACACCAGCCCTCGCTTATACTCCACGCAGTCCACCGTGACCATGCGCTCAAAGTGAAGCTCCTTGACTTTGGAGCTCGACGCCAAACCCGGAGCATCACCGCCGCCTCCTTTGCAGTTGTGCAGGCGCAGCCCGTCCTCAGTGAGGACGCAGCGCTTCTTCTTCCACAGCTGGAGAAGTCCGCTGCTGCGCTTCTCTAGCAGTCCGTCTCTCATCGCCTTGGCCGCGAACGACATTTCCACGCTGAAAGAACCTCTTCAGTACCAGACACTAGACAACTTAATCCTCTGATAGATACTGAATCTATTAAATACGCATCGCGTGTCTAGCCGTATCAACGTCCCTCGGGGAAACAGATTCGCTACAGTAAAGATGATGTTAAACACATTTGTCTATTACAACAAGGTTTGTGAATAAGTTCCGTCTGTGCGCAATGACAGGACACCGTGCGGGTTGGTAGGCTGCTCTGCCTGGATATGTTTGAACATGCCCGGCTCCTGTCTGGACCTTCTCCCCCTTTCAACTAGCACCCGCCTCCTTCTCAGTGACGGCAGGAGAAGATCCGGGCTGTTTATGAAATTCCCATCTTGAGTGTGTGCGTCAGCGTGCAGTGCGCGCGAAAGAAAGACAGGCACAGAGAGTCAGTTAGTGCACGCTGACAGTTGTGTTTTACAGCACTCTGCATAGCAGCCTTTTTATGTGTTGCAGTGGTGGAGAGAGTGCTCAGAACTTTAACATAGCAACACCAGGGTAAATATACTTCTTAGTCTTTACGAGTTAGCTCACTCAAGTAAAAAGAAAAAAGTATTAAATAAGCAAAAGTAGTGCAGAATGGCCAATATCAGAATAATGGATTATAATTACGAGTACACCAGTATGTTCATGTTTAATGCTGCCAGTGGTAATTATGGGCCTAACTTGATTATTGGTTACCATTTTTTCTTCTGTTTATGCTATTCATCTTCAAAGCAACTCGTTATCAACGTGAGAGCTGTGGAGGAAAGTGCAACATTTTTTAAAAACTGAATTCCACAACAAAGGTAAACACAGAGTAGATGGGTTCAGGCCTGACCATCTCCCTTTGAGGTCGCAGTGCACCTGTAGAAAAACCTGCTAACACACCTTTCTGTATAAATGAGTAAACTAAAATGCTAATATGCTTAAAGTGCAATAAGCGCTCATTTATAAGACTTGAAACTCCTTATTAGAAACTATGTAATCTCGCCTCTCTGAGAGCTGGAATGTGAGTGGGTGGCATGGCGGATAAAGTTGGATAAAGAGTTCAAACTGCTGAATGACTAATCAGCCGGTTAGTGATCATCACCTTCTGGAAACAATGTCGTTACAAGGTAGGGCTACACGCAAACATGTCCAAGGATGAAATATTTACAACTAGTGAAATAAAAATGTATATTTCATTTGATTAACAGATTATATTTTCATAACTTTAGAGCTCCGCTTTCACTTCTCTGTCGAACTTCTGTGGGAAACATCAGTGATGGAATTTGTTGGTAAATTCTTTCTGACATTCTTACGTGATAGATAAGCTTTGTGGGTGGAGTGTATCTGTGATTCCCCTAATTTTACAAGATACTGGACTTACCTGGTCCCAGTGTGTCGCGTGGTGTGAGAGGAATGGATACGTATCCTGCACGTGTCGTTTCTTAAAACCAAAACAGAAACCACCACCTATGATACTCGCCTCAGACACAAACCGAGACAAGGAGGCCGAGGAGGCAGTTTCACTTCACTTTGTGCCAATAAAAACAATGACACCAAATACATTCTCTCTGTAGTTTATTTATCATCATGCTCTTCAGAAAGCATACCGCAATTGTGACATTTTAGCTGGCTGTATAGGTTATCTTGTGATGTTAAAAGGTGATCGTCTGACAAAAAGTGATTTCCGTTGATTGTATGTCTTTTTGTGTGTGTTTGTGTGCTGTTTTTTTAATATCTCTGTTTATATTGATAAATAATCTGCAGTCAGCACCATTTACGAAGGTGTTATATATAAAATAAAAAAGTCATCTGTTTAGCAGGTTTCTTTTTGACATTATTGTACACACTCTATATTCTATAATATAATCAATCCACCTAAAACATCTTTGTATAACTGTTGTGTTATTTGGTGCGACCTCTGCTGCAGTGACAGTTTTACATTCGTTATTAAAGGATGTATAAAAGTCTCTGATTGCAGCTTCTACCTCATGACAGAAATATATCTTCTGACTTCAAGTGGCTCGATATCAACCAGGAGAGATGTTTGACACACGTTTCACAGACCAACAAGTGATTTACAACCATTTAAGTACGAACAATAATTTCGGGCCAAATACCGGAAATCGTTTTTGGCAGGCGATCATTTTTTATCACAACACCAGGGGTTGCAAGTGTTGAGAGAAAAAATAATTCTTATAATTAAAAATAATTACTTTTGAGTGCAAATCACCCATGCAGTTTTACATAGATATTCATGTTCACTAAATGTGCATATGTGGCAGCACTGCAATAGTATTCACCTGTTTCTATGGGATTATGAAGGTGTCATCCTTTCGACTGTACAGTTTATAAAAGCAGCTTTCTATCAAGCGCGTCTGTGGATATAGGTCGTCTGCCCCCTGCAGGAAGAGCCAGGCAGTGCAGTAATCTGGAGCTGTGCTGCTGAAGATACGCGGTTCCTACTGAGTGTGCGCCAGCGCCCCGGCTCCCAGTCCATAGCCAAATCCTTTGGGACCAAAGTTTTTGCCGTAACAAGCTGTTGAGAACAAAGGTAATGCCATAAGACTCCACACTTTGCCATCCTCCCATATATATTAGACAAAGCTCACTGTGGCCTGCTTGGATCAGCCTTGATTTGAGTGTTTGATTTCCATCTGGCAAACATGATATTCCTCGATTGAATTCCTCACAGGGACCAAAGTTTCTTCAGGATTGTTGGTAGAAGGACTTTTGACTTCCCCCTCAAATGTGTTTTTTAGGCCATGCTGTCTTCTGGATCTACAGACTCACAGATTGAGTTAGCATTAGCTCAAGCTGGTGTGCACCACTTAGCAACGGCCTTAACAAATAAATTTTACATATGAGCAAACTAAAGAATATATTGCACCACAGCTCTCATGCTGGTTCTTCTATATACAGACTATTTCATTTGTGCGCCTCTAAATGCTCAGTGTTACCGCTCAAGTGCAGATTCTGTGGCGTGTTTCGGCCCTGAAACATGATACCAGCGTTAGATTTACACCTTTGCGGCTGTTAGATTGCAGGAATGAGTAAACACTTTAATTCAGGAGTTTAATTCTGAACTTTGTTTGCTGGGTCTCATATTCCTCAGCTACATTGCCCATACTGAGAACCTGAAAAACGTGTTTCTCTGTATGTGCCTACATGGGGCTGGGTTGAGCCAGACACAATAAAGGGGTTAATGTGCCCATATAACAGAATATTGAGCTGAAGTGTTGGACCCTGGGAGCATTGATAAGCTCCGCTATTCATCACCAGTGGCTTCAATTTACAGTACACACCTACAAGGTATTGTGACAAAATAATAAAAACGAATATGAGCCTGTGATGTTGTGTTAACAACATTGTTGGATTATACACTTGCCGGCCACTTTATTAGGTACACATGTTTAACTGGTCGTTAAGGCAAATGTCCAATAAGCCAATCACATGGCAGCAAGTCAGTGCATTTAAGCATGCAGATGTGATCAAGATGACCTGTAGAATTATGGGGAATTTCAGAAACTGCTGATCTACTGGGATTTTCACACAGCGATCTCCAGGGTTTACAGAGGATGCTCTGAAAAAGAGAAAATATCTAGTGGGTGGAATTTATCTGGAAGAAAATGCCTTCTTGATGCCAGACGTCAGAGGAGAATGACCAGACTGTTTCAAGCGGATAGCCAGGCAATAATAACTCAAATAACTACTTGTTACAACCAAGGACATCTTTCTCTGACTGACCTCTGTCTCCTCTGTCAGCTAATAACGGCACTGAGTGTCGGGATCCTGGGTCTTTTTGACCCAACGTTTTGAGTTTTACTTTATTTTGATGTTTATGATTCATGTTTAAGTTCATTGGGTTTTCTAAGTTCACTTGTTTATTAGTTTCCCCTTGTGTTTTCAACCCCTGTGTTAAGTCTCTCTTGTCCTTTATATGTTTCATGTCCTTTGTTGTCAAGTTCACGTTGTCACGTCTGCGTTTCATTATGTTTCCTGTTTTATTTTGAAGAGGTCCCGTGTTCCTGTGTTCAGTGTATTCAGCTTTATGTTTCCCCTGTGATGTTATGTTCCTGTGTGTCAGCTGTTTCCCCCTGTGTTCCCACTTCCCTCATTAGCCTCCTGTGTGTATTTAGTCCGTGTTTTCTCACTCAGTCTTTGTCAGGTCATCTGTTGTTTCACCGTGTTTCCAGGTCTGTTGATATCAGGGTTTTTCATGTTGTATTTTAGTTCACCTGTTTAGGTTAATGTTTAGTTTGTCTTTGCCCATTGTTGTGTCTTTTTATCAGCCTTATTAAACGGCTCGCCTTTTGTTAATATTCAAGTTTTGTTCCAAGTTCGTTCATGTCTGCATTTTGGGTCCACTCTTCACAACACATACCGTCTGCCTGAGCGAGACTGTGACACTGAGGCTACTATGTGCAAACATTCAAAATTGGATGATAGAAAATTGAAAACATGTCGTCTATTCTTAATTTCTGCTACAACGTTTGGATGGCAGGGTCAGAATGTGGTGTACATCCTGCCTTTCATCAACAGTTTAGACTGATGGTGTAGTTGTGTAAGAGGTAGTTTCTTGAAACACTTTGGGCCCATTAGTACAGCTTGAGCACTGATTAAACACAAACAGCCTACCCAAGTGCTACTGCTTGTCTTCAGATGGCTTCTTTCAGCAGAGTAATTCACCAGATCATCTCAAAGTGGTTTCCTGGACATGACAGTGAATTCACTCAAAGGGTCTTTACATTCACCACATCCCAATCTAACAATTAAGTTCAGTTCATTTTGTTTATGTAGCACGTTATCACAAACACAGTTGCCTGAAGGCCCTTCTTACTATAGTTAAAGACCCTACAAAAATAGAGCACTTTAGGGATGTGGTAAAACCGGAGATCTGTGCCATGGATGTGCAGCAGACAAATCTGCAGCGATTGCGTGATGCTGTCATGTCAGCGTCTAATCGGTGATGTGAAGAATTCAGGCAGTTTTCAAGGCAAAATTGGTTCAAGCCATTACTAGCAACGTGTACCTAATAAAGTGGCTGGTGAGTGTTTGCTGGTATTTATTGAAATGAGTCAGAAAGTAATAGATAAAGTTATTTTTTCATTTAGCACATAGCTTGATAGCTATACAGTGCATAGTTTGTGTAATTAATTTATAATAGGGTTACAGATTTTGATGAAGAGAACCTTTCGGAGTCATTGTTTAACTTGTTGCAGGCATGAACTTTGAATCCCAGGTTTAGAGTTCAACTGAAATCATAAAACTTCTATTTTTCTGGGTAACTGCACCCTCTGTTGGATTCTAGGGTTTATTACAACTCATTTGGCCATTCTTATAAAAAAGGAGTTCGTTTTTAACCACAAGCCTCATTTATAAAGACTTTTTTTTCTTTCAGCCCAAGTTATATATATTTAGTGTTCCTATCACCTATATTATCTGTTTCAGATCCTTCCTGGGCCTGAATGGGTTAGCTTTCCTAGCTTCGCGCCCATGGAAACGCATCTTAATTGTGACAGTCATTGACCCATGGGAAATGTTTGAAGTTTGGACCCAATGTGGAGGTATGTTACACCTGCATTCTTTTTAAAGGCCAGCAGGTGGCAGTAAGTGCTGTTGTCTGGTTCTATAGAAGTCTTTGAAAGAGAGAGTTTTACCTTTGCAGTAGATTTCCCCTTCCTTATCAGCTAGTGTGGTTGATTCAAGGCTCTTCCCACAAGTGGCGCATGTAAAACATCCAGACTTATGCCATGCCTGTAAACATATACAAGCCTCGTTTTAAAGTAGTTGTGTTTTTCTTGCATGTGCTCATATATGCTTGTGTTTTGCTTACACTCCCAGCTCCCATCACTTTCTCAGCAGCGTAGACAGACTTGCCACAGCGAGGGCATTTGTCTGATCCTCCAAACTTCTGAGCTAGCTTGGAGGGGTTTGGGTTGGTGGTAGGACGATGGGGACCGGGTCTGATGGGTAAAGAAGGCAACAAAATGTGGATAAGGAGCCTTAAAACCATCAAAAAGTATGCTTGCCTGTGTGTTACTCACTCTTCAGGTTTAATTCCCAGGGACTCTCCTTTGTCCATGCTGAGGGTTCCTGCTCCTTGGCCATAACCATAGCCTTTTGGCCCATATTTCTTACCATAGCATGCCTTGCAGTAGACTTCATCCATATGAACAGCAACAGTTGTGCTGTCCAAATTCTTCCCACACACCACTGTACAAAGAGACACGTTATTATTGTTTTGCATACCTTTGCACTTTTCGTTGAGTACGTTCATGTGTTTATAA